AATTGGCTGCATGAGCTTCCAATACACAGTGAAGGTCATAATAAGGAGGAAGAAAATACTTTATATATTTATTGAAAAACCAGTTTTAAATTTTATGTCGTTTCCTCAAAGTTATCTTTTTGAAATACATCTATATTTTGTAAATATAAATATAGGTACATGAAAATAACACAATTTTAATATTGTCATTATTGAGGGAAAAAATAATGGAGAGAAAAAAAGGATGAATAACTTAGAAAATTTTTGAAAAAATAAAGAACTTTTTATGAAAACAATAATAAAAACTTAAAGTACAACGAATTGTATATCCACCAGTGAAACTGCTTTCAAAGGAATTTTTATACCATTAAATGAGAGAAGAAGATGAATACATATAAAAATGACATATATAAAAATTCCAGAAATACGGTTTTCCCTAAATTCATTCTTTACAGTTCTTCCATTAAATTCTTCACATATAAATGGTAGAATTGAATTCTTTGATTTATTGAAAGCAACATATTCTTTAATTCTCTTTTCTTTTCCATATATTTTATTTTTAATGCCAGCAAAAACATTTATGTGTTATTTTTAAGAATCAGTCTTTATTTGGTGCCAATGAAAGGAAACTTGCTTGTTGCATGGAATGTAAACAAACCAACTATGAAGTACATTTAAATGAGAACTCAATACCTGAAAAGTTGTAAACAAATAATATTTTACACGTGCTAAAAATATAAACTTAAAATTAATTTTAAAAAACAGCACAATATCTAAACAAAAGTACAGATTTACATAAATGAAAAATTTTCAGAGATTCATGACTAATGTCTATGATCAAAAGATTTTTACCATAACCTTTTCAGTACATAGTATTCGCGTAAGTGCAGAAAATGCTAAATGCTTCAACAGTAATATAAAACTGCTTCTTCAATCAAAATTTTAATTAGTATGCTTCTGTTAAAAAGTTTGTTTGCACATACATGTAAAAAAAAATTTGCTGTTAAATTTACTACAGGGTTGCCACTCAAACAGGAGAATGAAATTCCCTGACTTTTCCAGGTTTTCCAGGTATGTTTCGAGAAAATTCCAGTCTATTCGCGTAATGTACGTTGGCTGTGCTAAGATGTAAATTAATTATGGTATTACTTGTACTGTGTAGCAAATCACTTAATTATTCAATAAATCCCAGAGACATTTATTCTTATTATTCTTGGTACACTTTGTTTGATAATTTTGTTTACTTAAGAAACTTAATAAAATCTAAGATATATCATTGGATAACAATTGTACGTTTTATTTAATTATTACTCATGATCATCACCAGTTCAACATGAGGCTAATCGGTTCTTATCAATCACAACGCAATGCTAAAGTTAGTTAGTTTTAGGTAAATTTAATTGTGTGAGGTGTCTTCTTAAAGGCACCTTAACACTTTAAACACAAATATAATTATAATAGGAGTTGTTTTCCCACTGAAGATTGAGATTAGAATCTCCCCAATCTGGAAAAATAAGGCTTTTTTTTCAGACATTCTGCACTAAATAAAGAATAATCGATTTAATTATTTTTTTTGTTAAATTTCAGATTGCAGAGAAATTTCTGAAATTTGGAATATTATTTACTAATGATAATAAATTTAGAGGGAAAAGCAACCTAAATGATATGATAACAAATAAGATAAATACTTAAAATTGAATTAGAATATTACGATATTTTAGGAATATATTACATGTTTAGCCAGATGACTGATACTATTTACTATTTTTTATTTACTGCAAAATGAAAGGTATTATTAAAAAGCAAAGAAAAAAAAAAAAAAAAAAAGATTTTGCGGTAAAATCCTGTATACGGACGGCTTCGTATGATTTTGAAAATTGCCGCCAGAACAAATGACTCATTTACTGCTCATCATCATGTCGCCAATCCGCTGTACCATACGTGATATTATTCTAAACCAAAGAATGTCTCTGTAAAGAAAAAAGGTCCATACACGTAAATGCTATTCGCGGCTAGAAAGCGGAGGGAAAATTTGCCAAGGGATTTGCGACGAACCTGCACAGATTTCCCTCCGCGATTGTACTGAAATTGAACCGTGTTAAGAAGAAACTTCTTGGACAAAAAGAAAACTACGAAATCCGTTTTTAATATTGCAAAAATCCAAGAAAACGTTTTATCAAGAACTTTTTTTTAGATTTTTCGCATAATTTTAAAAACGGATTTTGTAGGTTCCCCCCCCTCAAATAACTAAATCCATGAATTAATTTATTGCGCCCAAAATATTTCTTTTCCTTGTAGATTTAAAAAATTTTAAACGAGATCATTTATGAACTCTTGAATACGGACCTTCGAACTTCAACCGTTTTGAGCTTTTGCGACAGATAGAGCGCCCATGCACAGCGGTTTCCCTCTATGACGGAACGGAGCCCGTCTGTTGCAGAGAGTTTTCTTTCTTTACAATACATATTTTTTGATTCTAACCTTCATGGTACCGTATACTAGGATAAACCATTTGTGTATACGAGAACGGGCACTTCTTAGTTCATGCACTGCCATGCGATTCTCGAGGCTACTGGAACCAAAAGTTGCCGAAACTTGATTTGCCTTTCTAAAGACACAATTGGAGCTGCAAAATTGGCTCTGCCACTGCCGAATGCCTCACGTGATAAACATTCGCCAAAAGTGATCTCTTCCGACGTCGCGGCAAAACTCGCCTTTTTTGGCGTGATTGTGTATTAAATTCCCTGACTTTTCCAGATTTTGACTAAAACACTTAAATTCCCTGACTTTTCCCTGAATTTTTTGGTCAATTTCCGAATTCCCTGACTTTTTCCGGTTTTTCCCGGTAGCGTGGCAACCCTGTTACTATATTTAATTTTCAGAAAAATAAGATTTTACTTGTTTAGATCCAAAAAAAAAAAAAAAAGCACAGATTATAGGAATTTGCAGATTAAGGGAATTTTATAATAAATCATACTAAACATCTTTTTTTTTTTTTTTCTTTGAATTTCTTTGTTGTTTTTACTTCCTTGCATGAAGTAAAGGGAAGTATTGTAATCGCGGAAAATTTTGGGTATTGTATTTCAATGAAAATATCCCTTTTGGCCACTCTCAAACATATTTGAATGATGTTTTTGCATGACATCTGTACGTACAGACAGAATAAATGACTCTTTTACTTAAAATGGTTTTAAAACAGATTCAGAAGGCTACCAAAAAAAAAAGTTACGTATGTTCGTATGTAAGTTTTTTTACATACATATATATCTATTTATGTATCACACATAACTCAAAAACAGGTAGCCTCAGAATATTGAAATTTTGTTTATGGGATTGCTATAACATGCATTTGTGCATCTCCCTTTACTGCCTATGTGAGCTCAGTTTTTTATTCTTATATCTCTATCTTACTTTTAATAAAACTAGTAAGCCAAGATTCTTATTTTTTTTTTTTAAAATATCAATTCTGGCTTAAATATCTTATTTTTAATAAAACTAATAAGCAAATATTCTTATATGTTGGTAAAATGTGCATTTTTTGCTGTAAAATGATTAAATTATGTTATCCTTATGTTCCGGTTAAGGTTTTATGCCTTAGTTAATCTGCACACAATAGTTGTAGAATTATCAACAACTTTAAAGTTGTTTAAATATTGCTAAACCTAATAAAGCCACCATTTGTTCGCATTTGAAATTTTTAGTAGAATAGTGAATTAAGTCAATTTTTGCACCTTTCAGAGTCTTTTTGACAAGTGGGACCAAAAAAAAGTTTTGTGCACAGCAAAATTTGTCTTTTAGCTGCATTGCTTGTTTTTACGTAGAAACTCCAATTTTAATTGTAAAAATTATTTTATTAACTTTTTTAAACTGTATTTGATGTTTTATGTTTTTCTGTATTTTACAGTTTTCAACGAAGAAGTTTTGAGCTTTTATGTACGAATGAGAAATATACCTCTAAAGAAAGTGGAGGAAATAAGTTTAAATGAAATGCAGCAAAAATGTGTGTAACTGAATAGGCCGTACACAGGTGTCATGTATCCACATCAGATTTTTTAATAATCATGGAAAAATATTACTTCCAAGGAAAAATGTTGAGCAAAGCAGCAAAAAAGAAATAACGACCATACAAATTGTGGATGTTACAAACATCAAGGATGAATAAATAATTAAGGTGATTAATATGAACAGAAACAAAGAATTGTAAAAGATGTTTTGGACCTTTGCCTATACAATATTTCAATGAAAAAATACAAAAATATTGCATTTAATATGCAGTCTTACATCAAAATCTGTCATCCAACACATATGACTTTTTGTATTTGGAGTTTATGACACAGAAAATGATTATTAGTTTGTTCCTGTTTTATACAGAATTTGAAGCATTTTCTTTGGTGATACTAGAAGTATTCAGTTATGCTTTAAATGTAGTACTATATTTTAAAGCTTTACTTATAGGTCACGTTTTGGCTACCAATAAGCTATTGCATTCAAGAGATTGAATATTAAAATTTAAACAATATTATTTAGTTCAAACACTTAGAACATTAACTAAATACATGTATGCTTTTTTAAGGAGGAATTGCTCACCATAGAGAGATATAGAGAAATATTTCTATCTATGTTAACATTTGTGTTTTACACATATTTAGCATAATTGTAGTATTTAAATTCAACATTTATAGCATACAATTTTTAAACTTGATTTGGTTAGAAAATCAAGTTTAAAAATTGTAATAATAAAATTTTTAAAAATGTTTATACTGTAAAGGGAGACCTTTACAGTATAAACATTTTTTAAAATTTTATTTTGTTTAATTTCAATGTTTCTGAAAGTTGGTATATATTTAAAGCATACTCCACTCAAAGATAAAAACACGTCATTGATAACAACAAAGTATGCTTGGGTGATCTTGCCATGTATCCATAAGATGAAAAATGCACTCAAGAAAAGTATGTCAATAATAAAAAAACATTTTCAGCATATAAAATTGAGCTCACTTTCAGTCCAAAAATATTTTTACCTCAAGATACTGCTTCACTACATCTTCAGGGGATGGCCCAAGAAAAATATAAAAGTCTAGTATTCCTCCAATTGTACGAAATGTAAGAGCTGGGCTTGGTTGTAATATTACTTCTAAAAATGCAGGACACATAGAAAGATAATTAATTAAAAAGAAAATGTTTTACTTAACTTATGAAATAATTCATCACCTATTTCTGTTAGTGATTGTAATTATAAAAAGGATCATTAAAATCAGTTACTCACCATAAAGAAATGAATATATATCACTTCTGTCAAAACTGAATAGAGAGAGAGAAAGTAAGGAAAAATTGAAGGGAAAGAGTTATATATTAGTAAATAAAGCATATGCAATTTACAAACATGCATTAATTACTATTCTAATAAGCAAAGCATCAAAAGAAATCAGTACATGTTAAAAAATCCTTTACGACATACATGAGAAATATACACAATTTACTTAAGAATTATAAATACCAAGACTAAATGGAAATGACCCACCTCCATATTTAACATATTCAGATAGCAAGCTTATCTTTTTTCGGTAAAGAGGGATCAAATGTACCAAATAAAGGAAATTTTATTTTTTTCTTTAATCATATTTTACTTCAAAAAAAATTATGCAATTTAAAAACAAATTTTTTTATCTTCAGAATTTTTTTATCTTCAGAAAGGAATTAAAACAAAATTATTTATTTTTCTAACAAAATTAAGCAATGATTTTTTTATTTGTTTAAGTTACCTTTGAGTTCATGATGTCAACAATCAAAATAATATATATACACAATTTTTATTTAAACAAGACAATGAAATATAATTTTATTTATGAAATATTTCATGAAACATAACCTTAATACTTTCAATATACTAAAATTTCTTTTATATTTGCTTTAATATTGCATACTGGGGGGGGGATTCTTTGCATTGTATCCAAATTCATATAATACCATATTTCTTTAAGCTTATTTTGAGAAAAGGGAAATTCGTTATGGTTAAGCAGTGATTGGTAAAGAAAACATTGAATACTAAGTTTATATAGTGTACAGATGCTTTTCTTTTAATTTTTAAAGGCTACATATTATCAAACATTAATTCAATCAATAACTATCCCTATTTTTTCTGAAATTTAATAACTTTTTAAAACTGGGATTGCCCTGTTATTGTATTTTCTCTTTACATTATTTAAATCAATTTAAAACATAAATAAATTATGATTAAATTTAATTTTATTTGGCCTGGAGAGAATAGCAAGTACGTAATTTAGGTTACTGGAGTTTAGGATATCAGCAACCACATAACTGGAGCAGCATGTAATTTTAAAATTGAAGTAAAAACAGTTATAATATTAAAGAGTCAGGTACCTTTGAAATGCCAAAAATATAATGCCTATTAAAGCTCAATATTTTTATAACTAATTAGTTTACGATTGTGAAATTTTGTACACTTATTTCAACATGCTTTTAATGTGCTTATATTCCAGACATTAAAATATTTCAAATAAAAGAAAAATAAAGTAGCAGCTTTTCACGAACATAAAAATTGTAATATGTACCGTGCATAAGATTAGAGATCAGCAAATCACTATTTTAAGCTAATTTTTTCCCCAAAAATTAGAAAATAATGTACAATTTAAATAACTTACTTTTGAAAAATTAAAATATATTTTCTTAATTTTTTGATATCCTTAAATAAACTATTTTCCTATTTTTTAACATAAAATTTTAATTAATTTCATTTCTTAATTCTTTAGTTGGTCATTTTATACCCACACAGAGTTTATATATTTTGTCAAAATTTCCTGAAATTCTGACTGAAGTCAAAGAAATCATCCACACAAGCAGAAATATTATAGTTTTCCGAAAACAATATAATTGCCTTCAAATCATGTAAATGCACATCTTAGTATTAATAAAGAAATATAACAATATATTTAAATGCTTGTAAGTATGCATAATTACATAGTTAAACAGTATTGCATACATAATCATTATAATTTTAATTAACAGAATGACAAATGAATAAAAATTTCATATAATTTCAAATTTAATTACAGTGCTCAGATCTTATGTCAGAAACATAATAGCTGGCCATTTTATAGATATAATGTTTACACAAATGAAATTTCTTAAAATTCTAATTAGCCAATTCACAGAAATCCCATATGCAAGCAGAAATCACAATTTTTATGAAATCTGAAGTGGAGAGAATAATTACCTTAATGTCTGCAAGTATATTACTTTCTTAAAATTAATATATAGATAGTAGATATGCTAAGTTAACTTTTCTATCATGTGTAACTACATATTTGCAGAATCATACACAAAAGCATTTTTTTATGTATGTAGAAAAGCATTTTATACATAACATAAGAAATTGGCTGAAATGTAAATACACTGCTCGACATTGAAAATGCAACACCAAGAAGGAGTGATCAGAAATTTATGCAAATTTTAAAGTAGATGCATGTCACTGAGTTATGCGAATGATGCGAAATGCGCAGCTCTCCGACGCATGTGAAGTAAGATATAAGGGAAGAAACGTGCCGAATGGGCAATATTCATATCGTTATTTCTGTCAGACGAATTAGCAAAGAAAGTTGGTTTTTGTCCCGGAGGATACGTGTAATAGGAGAGAATTGCCAGGCCGTCATCAATGAAGGCACTTCAAGCAGATAGACAATTTTACGAGGGGTACGGTGATCAGACTGAGAAGGGCAGGTTGGTCCTTACGTCAAATCGCAGATGATACCCACATGGATGCGAGCATGGTGAATCGGCTATGGTGAACATGGTTGGAACAAGGAAATGTGGGAAGAAGGAGAGGTGCAGGTGCAGCCAGAGTGACGTCAGCACGCATGGATTGACGCATCCGCCGACAAGCTGTGGCCGTCCCACAAGTCACTTGTACCGCAATTCTGCAGCATGTGCAAGATACCCTGGATGTTTCCGTGTTGACCAGAACCATTTCCCGTCGATTGGTTGAAAGTGGCCTGCACTCATGGCGTCCGTTAAGAAGACTGCCATTGACCCGACAGCATAGACGGCAACGTTTAGAATGGTGACAGGCCGGAGCGATGTGGATGACAAAATGGCGAAACGCCGTGTTCTCAGCTGAGTCACGCTTCTGTTTATCCAGTGACAGTCGCCATATATGTGTGCGGCGTCAACGTGGAGACAGATTTAATCTGGCAGTAACTGTGGAATGCCCCACCACACGACAACGTGGCATAATGGTTTGGGGCACTATTGCCTACGATTCCAGGTCAACTCTAGTTCGTATTCAGGGCACTACGACAGCTGAACGATACTTGGATAATGTACTGCAGCCGGTGGCAATCTGCTACCTTCAGGGGCAGCCTAATGCAATTTTTCAGCAGGATAGTGCCCGACCACACAGTACTGGCGTCTGCCAACATGCTCTGCAAAGTATACAGATGCTTCCCTGGCCACCGTACTCTCCTGATCTGTCCCCAATCGAACATGTGTGGGATGTGATTGGACGTCGTTTGCAGACTCTGCCCCTGCCTCATTCAGAAAATGAAATGTGGCAAATGGTAGAAAGGGAATGGAGAGCCATCCCTCAGGACACCATCTGCACTCTTATTGACTCTATGCCTAGACGTGTTTCTTCAAGCATCGCTGTCCTCGGTGGTCCTACATCCTACTGAGCCGACGCCGTTCTCACTCTGTATTCTGACTATCATTTTGAAATAATGATCACTTATTGCTGCTTGCTGTCTCTGTCTTTTTTCCAAATTTCATCACTTTCTGACTACTCCTTCTTGGTGTTGCATTTTCAATGTCGAGCAGTGTATAATAATAATAACAATAATAATAACCATTAGGCTTTTCAAATGGCAAAGGCTTAGAAATATTTTTACCATAACTTCACAGTGAATTTTTACAGAGATTTAATTTTAAAATACTTGCAAAACAAATGAATTTTAACATAAAAGAATTAAAAAAAAAAAAAAAGAGGTCAACACTTTTTTGTTTATTTAGTATTGGTATTTGGATCAACATTTTCAGGGGTTACCTGACCCCTGAAAATAACTACTGGGTGAGAACTTTTTACTTTTATAATTGAAAACATTTAAATAATTATGACAATTATGACTATTCTTTATAATTGAAAACATAAAATAATGATGGATTTTTATCAATAGTGTCAGGACAACAATTTTTAGGAGTGAAATACCTTCTGCATTTTAATCTTTATTTTTTAATTTCATTTATTTCTGATTCTATCTACTATTATATAATAGCTATCAAAATGACAATTTTAAATTTTCTAAATGTTAAACAGACAATTTATTCAACATTTAGCTTTGTTTTTCCTAAAATTTTAGAAGTTTCCATGTGAATCCAGGTAATTATAAAAATGTTAAACTCCTTTTAAGAAACTTAAATTTCTCATTCATAACAAACTAAAAATCTCAAGAGATATATGAGAGAAAATAACTACCCATTGCATTGCTATTCAAGAGAAAAACACCATGCACATTTCCATCTTCCTCTACATTCATATAAAATGGATGAACCCCATAAAGATTTGAATCATGCTGAAAACAACAAAGTGAAACTTTAAATCAATTCACAATTTATAAACATTGGGTTTTCATTCAATTTTGCATTGTTTGGTTTATAACAGCAAAATCTGTAGCACATGAAATTAAATAATGTTATATTAAAAATGCCTAGTAAACTCAGTTTTTTATATTAGAGGAGATTCCTCAAGTCTTATTACTTACTGTTAATTTTCAGTGTCTCTAAAGAATGAGAATAGCATATAATTACAATGTATGCCTATTTTTCATGAATGACATATTTTAGTAAAATAAAATTAATACAAGCTAATGAATAATTGTGACCGAAACAGCTTTAATGTTATCAGAAGGTAAGAATATTCCAGTTCTTGAACTCAAAACAATACATCACTTCAATATTAGTATGACTGCTGCAATTAATATATTAAAACAAAGAAAATGCATTTTTAGCAAATTATTAATAAATAAATAATCTCAAATATTGGCCAAAACAATGATTTAAATTTTAGTAGATTATCTGCATTAATGTGACATAGCAAACACTTAATAATATCATGCATAGAAAACTAATTCTTACCATAAATTTGAAAAATTTTTAATACCTCATAACAACTTTAATTTCTTTACTGAATTATAAGAAATTTTAATACATACAGAAGTGATGTTTACATACAAGGGTTGGTTTTTGTGATGTTTACATGTAAGGATTGCAATTTTTATTTATGGCCTAATAATGAAAAATCAAATATTTATGATCGAAATTGGTTTTATTATTTTTCAAAATATTATCCATGAAGATCAATACACTTTTGCATGCGTCTAAACCAATTTTCGAAGCACTTTTCCCACTCGAATTGAGGTAACTCCAAAACATGCATTTTGAATGCATCAACCACTTCTTCGGGTGTTGCAAATCGCTGACCACGTAATTTATTTTTGATATGCCAGAATAAAAAACGTCATTGGGTGCCAAATTAGGGCTGTATGGCAGATGGCCCATCAATTCGATGTTTCGACCCGTCAAAAATTCCTTTGTTAGAGCCAATGTGCAAGAAGAGCTCGCATTGTCATGATGAAGGAAGATTTGACTCTTTTTCTGCCTTTTTCGAATTTCTCCAAATGACTTCTGGCTAACAAATGCTCGTGTACCATTTGGAAGTGACCATCTTGCATTGCTATAAAGCCATTGTCACCATGTGACAGGTAATGCCGAAGAAACAGGCCACCATTTGCTTTGATGTGCTTTTCCTATGAAAAACTTTTGTTGGATTTGGCTCATCTTGAAAGACCCACACAGTTGAGTGCTTTTTTGCTTCGGGTTCATATGCACAAATCCATGATTTGTCACCTGTCAGATTATGAGGAATCCAACATGAGCTAATGTTTTTTACCGCCAAATGCTCATGTAATATCTTATTGATGATTGTCATACTAATACCCAAAGATGCCTCAATCTCACGGTATGTCACATGACGATCTTGCTTTATCAGTTCACGCACAGCATTGATATTTTCTGTTACAACAATTGATTTTGGATGACCTTCACAGAATTCATCCTGGAGAGAACATCGACCATGATTGAATTTGTTATATCAGTTTTTTACAGTGCTGTAGGATGGTGCTTTATTGTTGTGTTAAGAATTAAGTTCATCAAAGCACTCTTGTCTTGGTAATCCATGTCAAAAGTTATGATAAATAATTGCACGAAAATGTTCGAGTCAATTCTATACTTTACCTAAGATGAATTTTTTTAGTTCACTGTAAACAACACAAATCATGCTAAAATGGCAAGTCTTTCTGAAGAAGTTATGGTTAAAAATATCAAACTTTCAATTGGAATCATCTGCGGTCACCTAGCAAGATTTAGTGCTGCCAAGGCCAGAAATATAAATAGCAACCTTCATAAATTAATACTAAAATATCAGCATGCAATAAGACTTAGTAATGATGCATATCTCTTGACTCATCAATTTAAGAATGCAATCCTGTGGCTCAAACTAAATTATTTATAGGATCACTAAAAACAGATCTTTTATAACATCTATTCAACCATAGAATATATGAGCAATTTTAATGAAAAACAACTCGAAGTACAGAGGTTGGACAAAAATATGGAAACCCTTTAAAAAACATGTTTCTTTGCTTAATATAGTGTAGGAAACCCATTGGCATCCAAAACAGCTTGCAGTCTTCTCGGATGGATAAATACAGTTCCTGTATGTTTGCCAAGGAATACTATACCATTCTTCCTGCAAAACAGTGGCAAGTTCAGATAACGATGTTGGCGGGGATAACGAGAACGCACTTTCTGTTCCAATGTAGACCACAAGGTTCGATAATATTCAGGTCTGGTGACTGTGGTGGCCAGGGGAGATGGGACAACTCATTCCTCGTGCTCAGAAACCAGTCCTGGACAATGTGAGCTGTGTGAACAGGGGCTTTGACGTCTTGGAAGACACCATCACCATCGGGGAACAAGTTTGTACCATGGGATGAACTTGATCGGCCCAAAATGTTCACGTAGTCTTGGCAGTCATGTGCTCTGACAACAGTTATCCAGCTTAGCAGAACCACGATATGGCTGCCCAAACCATAACAGAACCCCCGCCATGTTTCACTCTTGGCACAAGCAGTCTGTATTATAGGCTTGAGATGGTGTTCTCCAAGGTAAACTCGGCCAGAAGGGAAACAATGTGAAAGAAACTCGTCAGACATTTACTCGCTTCCACTGCCTATAGTCCAGGCTTTATGACTTAAACACCCACCTTTTCCTGTAAGGGCATTATCTCACTGATGAGTGGCTTCTCAATTCCAGCACGGCCAGCAATCCCTGTTTATGAAGCTCCCTTCTAATTGTTTTGGTACTCACAGGGTTCGGTAACACAACATTCATTTCAGCAGTAACTTTTGCAGCTGTGGTCTTCTTATTTTTCGTCACAATTGCCCTTAATGATCGTCTGTCACGATCACTCAGGACACATTTCGTCCGCAACTGTGATTTAGCAGATGATGTTTTTCGCTTTTCAATATGCGGAATAAATTTCGATACAGTACCTCTTGAACACTAAACACCTCGGCTACCTTGCTTACGAAAGCACCTACCATACGTGCTCCAACAACTTTGCCCACGTTCGAAGTCTGTTAACTCTGACATAATGCAATGACAACCTCACATAACAGTACTCCGACAACAACTGAACTGTTTAGCACATTTACGAAGTTGTATAGGTGGCGTCAGTAGTCAAAAACGCTAGCGCCACCTACATATTTCATTAAAATCAATCTTTCTTTTCAAACATGCATTTCACAAGGTGTTTCCATATTTTTGTCCATCCACTGTAGTTACTCTTTTTCAAGCAGTAAAACAAGAAACGTAAGTTGCAACACTAAGAATTCCTGCTTACATTTACTGCAAAAACACTTTTTAATACATTTTGTACTTACATCTATTGTAATATCTCTTGCAAAAAAGCTTAATTTTTTCCAGTTAATATCATGTTTATATTCAGCAGTAGTATGTTCACCAAAGCCATACAAATACGGAGATGCTAATCTTGTAGAAATTTGGTTATATTGCTCTGAAAATATCATTCCTGGAATATTTGTGTCAAATCTACAGAAAATAAAATAAACACCGTATCAGAGGCTTGACAAATAATAATTCAGAAAATGAATGAAATATATGTTTTTTAGATAACTTATACACAATTTTTTACAAAGAATATCTTCCTATCAATACGCACAATATTAATTACTGCATACAGATGTTACCAATTCTCATCATAATCACATACTTTATTTTTTACTCTGCCCTTTTATCCATTATTCAGTTAAGATGAAAATATTAGCAAACCCAGCATAGCATTTTAGCTAATATCGAGCTCTATCACACAAAGTACCATTGTAAGCTTTAATACAACAGTTGGGACATTTCTGTGGTATTAAAACATACATAATACAATACTTGTGTAATAATACTTGCATATTCATGAATATTTCAGTTTGCTGATCAAAAAGTAAATATTAAGTCTTCATTCCAGTTTGTTAAATTCTTACACTATATTTGGGGAAAATAATTCTTAAAAAAAGAAGGAATTAAATAAAATAATAGGGCTTTTAAAATGTCATAAATTAATATGTATAGTTAATATTTTGATTATCCAATAGGAGGTTTAACTCAGTACTTATATGAGAAATAGAGGTTTGAGTTCAGTGTATATTCAGATGTTTCATTAAAAAATTGTTAAAGACAACAATACATGCAAGTAAGATGGTACACTGCGAAGGGGAAAAAAAAGGAATGGTTCTACATCTCCCGTTCTACCGAGTCGATTGACGAAATTCAACTTGCGTTTTTCATGTCTCGAAAGCGCGACTTAGGATATGTATTACATTTATATATAGCATTGTTCTAATATAGGTATTTTGACACAAAATCGGACTCTTTCTGAAATAACATACCAATTTTTTTCCATATTTCGATTCTATGATGATTCTAAGCCAAACTACCGAGTTTTGTAAAAATCGCACAAGTAGTTTTTAAAAATTTAGCTCCTCAATGTTAACTGAGTTTGGTATTTATTATTTAATCTCTCTTTTTTATTAAACTTATTTGATTCTTCCTTTCACATTTCGAAATTTAGGTTCTTTCCAAATAAAATTCATCCATTTTTATGATGTATTTTTAAAATTTGTATTTTAAAATAATTTTTAAAAATTTTTCAAAAAAATTTTGAATTATAATCTATAAAATTTTTAAGCATAACTGCAAAAAATTAGTTTTTTATTCCCAATTTCCAAAGATATACGTGAATTTATATATTGGCACGTTTTGAAATTTGGCATATTTGTTGAAAGCAATAAAATATCAAATGAGGTTTAGACACTTTGCTAAAATTATTTGAAATTAAGAACAATGTGACTTTTTTCCACTCATGTACAGTGTAAAAATGTAGGAACGAGGTGCACTTTTTTTCCGCTCCGACATAATGAAAGAGAAAGGAAAATTGATTCCTGTATATTAAAAAGTGCGCCAAGTGAATTAATTATTCTTGGCACAAACTGAACAAAATTGAGCCAATAAAAATTTTTGAATTTCTTTATAAATTTCGCACTAAATTTTATAAAATTTATTATCTATGCATAATTTACATCATAGAATCAAAATATGAAAAACAATTGGTATGTTATTTCAGAAAAAGTCCGATTTCGTGTCAAAATACCTATATTAGAACAATGCTCCATTTTTATTTTTTTCCGCAGTGTACATTTAATATATTAGTAATCATTCAACAGATCTGTCAACACTGATTCAGAACATTTTATTTTAGATAATGTAAATTTAATCATCAATGACTGAACAAATTATTTGGCATTTTTCTCAGTAAAATGAGTACAATTTGACGAATAGATAATGGTCTTGCTTTACAGCCACAAAACAAATCTCTAAAATGAAGAAAAGAACTTTTCTGGGAATTCCCATATTTCCAGTTCTAAGAAATAATATACATACTAGGACAACATATTCCTGGCTAAAATCTTGTCTGTAATAAATGGATGCTGTTGCCAGTTGACAATGTATAATTTTTTTTATTCAATACAGTAAAAATGCATTTCTCAATACATATTAATCATTTAAAACCCCATTTTACCTGCACTCCTTAATAATATTTAGCAGCTAATGTTCTTTATACCATGAATGAAATTATTTAGAACTGACTGATTAACAAAATTTCTAACTCTACTTCTTACGATGCTTTTTTACATTCAGGAAAAATTCATATGTTATGATAGGATTCGCAGCAATGTATGGATTGCAATAATACACATATATTTTAATTTTTCTCAAACAATTAGTACATTTTTAATACTTTGATATTTTTCTGCTTATACCATTTAACATTCAAAAAAGAAAGTCAGAAACAAATTAAGTTTTGAAATTAAATTCTTTCTGAGTTTTTATTTTATCAAACACTAAAAATTTAGTTTCAGGACTTAGCAACAGATATCACTTTTATTTAAAATAAGAAATGAAACAGCTAAAAAAAATGTTTAAATTCTTATTAATTTTTATAGATTATTAGCAAATTGTTCTATGAGATGCTAAGACTGCATTCTGAAATTTTCAAATTATAAGATTTCTCTCCCTTTCTTTTTTTAAATGTTCATCAATTTAAAATAATATAAACAATTAAAATAATGAATTCAAATATGGAAAAACTGAAAGCGCTAACTGTTGAAATGAAATTCAAAGATGAAGTGCACCCATTATGAATGAAGAGTCTGTGAATTATAAAAGGAAAATGAATACAGTCAAAAGTCTTTAATCCGGACTCGTCGGGCGATTCCGGATTATAGATCATCAATTTAAATCTGGTAAGATGGCATGCAGAAATTATAAAATTAAAAATATGAAACCGTAATTTATGAAATAAAGAGCAATTATGATCTAAAGGGTATCAAAATTTACAAAAAAAAAAAAAAAAAAAAAAAAAAAAAAGCTTAATATTTATTTGTTTACTTTATTAAACATTTCTTTCAATGTGTGCACGCGTAAAGCATACATTACGCGTAATCGAAATTAGAAAATTGTAACCAGAAAACTATTTGATGGGTATTCGTGATATTTATAATGACGAGGAATTTGATTTAAATCATATCAAAGAAGGAGTACATCGAAATGAAATACTACATTTAGTGAGGAATTATACGCAGAATAAAATAAAAACATCTGCCCTGAAGATAAGGATAGTGCTGACAGATCAACTTCTAGTTCATTGTGCGCCGCGATGTTCCCCCCCCTCGCAGAGCAACGCGAAATTGATAAACAGATTTCGGAATAGTTAGAGAAACAAATCACCTTTCTGTCACTTTCTTCATGCCTTTATCCATCCTTTGCAGCAATTCCACTTTCTGTTTAATGGACATCAAAACATGCTTTCGCTTTGTAGATCCTTTGGCAACTCCAGGATTGGAAACTCTTTTTGACATATTTAAAAGTTCAAGCTTACTTTTTCATAAAATTGCTCTAACAGTTTGCAAAAAATAATAAGCCGGATCCAATTTGAAGATTAAGGAACAACGCAATCTGCAACATTAACTGAAATAGATAATTAGATAATTTTAGCTTAGATTATACCATCCGTTATACATTAAACGCGCATGCATAAACGTATTATGCGCATGCGTAAATGCATGTGCAGAAAGTTTGTAGCTTTGAGGTCCAGATTTTTTAGATCATTCCGGATTATGGACTTTTGACTGTATTTGTTTTTGTTTTTTTAAAGTACAGAAGTGAGCAAATTTAGCACTAAAAAGGCTATTGCTTTCTCATGTACAACGATCTGCTTTTGCTTAAAAATATATCAGATAATTGCATAAATTTGACATCAAAACACAAATTTTGAAGCATAAAATTTGATCATTTGTGAAATACAACTTCATGGAAAGAATTTTTGCATTATCTGCTGTTAGGCATAGTGCCATACTCCTGAAGTAATGCAACATTTTCTTTTTTATCAGCTGGCAAACTCCAAAATCCTCACAAGATTCTTCACAAGGATAAAAAATGCACTCGATGCAACAAAAAAAAAAAAAAAAGAAAGAAAAAAAAGAAACACTAACAATCATAGCTTCCAACATTGAAAAATGAAAAACTGGGAGTTTCTGAAAGGTTTTTGAGCTGTGTGGTGATATCATTCTAAAAGAACACAAAAGTTGATTTAAAATCACTTTATAATGAATGATTCAATTTATTCAACTATTTGTATTATTCATTACAAATTCTAACTTTTATGTTTTTTGGCTAATTTCACTTTGCAACTTTCTCACATTTTTATACTTCGACATTTCTGAATGGTAAAAATAAAAGTAATTAAGGTACATATTATTGTGTGGATAAACTTGGTAATGTACCATATTATTTGCAAGATACTTTCTCCCTTCTCACTGTGTGCATTCGTAGTGTTACTGAAAGTGCAGCCAGCTGGAAATCAGAAGCAGCTTAAATCATTCTACAATACTAGCGCAAACTAAAATGTGGTGGACAATAATTCATCACCAGAATTTGGCAACTAGGTACCTTCGCAGTGTAATCAAACTGCTAGCCATCAAAAATGCAACACCATGAAGGAAACATTCAAACAGCATGAAACTTGCATCATGCAACACCATGAAGGAAACATTCAAACAGCATGAAATTTGCATCATGCATACTGTGATCAAATATGAAAATAATTACGATTTTAGCAGAGGCACATATCATGGGCAATTGCAGCATTCCTTACATATATAAAGGGAGGAAGGAGTGCCATTTTGAATAACATGAATTGTTATATCATGAGTTTTTTGGGTGTGCAGCTTCTGCAATCATATCACAATTAATGTAGCAATTGGTGTCTGAAATAACAATTCTGTGTCTTTACAGTATAATAGACTGTCCGCTAACTGTCCTTTCCTTCACTTACCTTTCACTTTAAACCACAGCCATTTCTGTTTGCAATGGTGCATTGATGGCGAAGACAGACACGTAAATGGCATGACATGCAATTTCATATGAATCACACTTCTGCCTACAGCAACCCAATGATCAGAATAGGGTTTCGAGACACTGTGAAGAAAGGCTGCTTGACTGTTGAGTTACGCATCATCATACTGGTCCTGCACCTGGTGTGCACCATCCTATGCCATGGGCATGGATGGTACTGGATTCCACTTTCGCAACCCCCTAATATGCAACATCAGTACACTTACCAGCCAACATAATATCTCCAAGGTTTTGAAGACTGTTCTTCTTTCTTACCATCAGGGCTAAGTTTTAGCAGGACAATGCATGACCACATGTTGCCCATTCTTCAACCTTTCTTCTTAGCCCACTATATTTGCATTGTTATCCTGGCCTGCCCATTCTCCAAATCTATCACCAATTGAAACCGCCTGTTCAATGACTGAAAAACACCTAGCCAGGCATGCCACACTGCGGATACACTAGATGAACTTTGTGTGGAGGCAGCATGAACTGCCATTTCCCAACAACACATCCAAAGCCTCTTTCACTCAATGCTATGGCATGTAGTGGCAGTTGTTAACAAACGTGGAGGCAACACTTATTACTGATTTTTGAGTGTTCCTCATCTCAAAAAAGGTTATATTTCAAATCAATTAACACTGATAATATGTGTAATCTCAAATAAATTTGGCTTGCCCTTTTTCATGCTGCATTCTGAATGGCAGCAGTGTAGAAGCACATCCGGCTAGCCAATTGGAGGGTCTGCAGTTTGAATCCCATTGAAGATATTGCATATTTTTCATGTTTTCTGTTGCAAAATAAATACAAATATTTATTGATTAACCATTTCATTTAATGAGAAAAATTATGTTGAAAATCACTAGGAATGGGGGAATAAAATTTGCATAATTTAACCTTCATTAAGTCAAAAATGAAACTTAAAATGTTAAAATTTTATTTGCACAATTTAATTTTATTGCTGGAAAACACTTTCAGTAAAGGCTAAAAATTACAAACTGGGAGATTCGTTGATCTACAAGGGGACTGGAGGTGTGTCTAAAAACAGGTCTCCAGGTAAAGCAGGGAGAGTTGGCAGCTGTGCTAACAACCATGGAATTTGAAGGTCATGGGCTTTGCTGCAATGCTTTTTTGCTCATCTGCTGCATGTGCACATATACCTGGGTCACCACATAAAATACATTTTGATGACATCATGGGTTACACATTTTTGTAACATAGCACATTGCCTCTTGAATACTTTTTGGGAGGAGGGTGCAGATAATCAGAAAGCACCAAATTTCATTCTTTGTTTTTCCTCATCTCATTTTGCATTTCTGATATACATTTGTTCCTTTGTTTACAAAACTATACTATAATCAAAATCACAATATTTATTGAACTCATTTAAGTCATATACTGAAACATTTACATTCAGACTTTAAGTAATTTACAGAGGTGATACCTGTAATATTTAATAATTTGTAAATGGCAATATTTAATATTTAATAACTTGTAATTGGCAACACTTGTGATACATATATGAAAATAGAATTATGCTGATATTGCAGTTCTCAGTAACATATAATATTCTATGCTTATCAATAAATATTTTCTGAAAACTAAAAGTGCACCCTCATTATTTTATATGGTGTCAGGAGTATTTTCCTTTAAAAGTTTAAAACCACCAGAGCCGATGGAAAAACAGATGTAAAAGGATATGATTCCAGATATTCTCAAGGGCTAAGTTAAGAAGATCAACTACCAAACTCTTATAACTCAGAAACAAGAGACAGTGAGCAAAGAATTAGAAGTGGGAGAGTGATTAGAAAGCTGGCCAGGTATTTAGATTGATTTTAGACTGTTAAAAAAAAATAAAATCTTTTGAACTCTTTAAAAAAAATGGAAGATGTAATATTTAATCGTTTGTAAATGGCAACATTTAACATTTAGTAACTTGTAATTGGCAATGCTTGGGATACATATATGAAAATAGAACTATGCTGATATTGCAGTTCTCAATAATATATAATATTCTATGCTTATAAATAAATAATTTCTAAAAACTAAAAGTGCACCCTCATTATTTTATAATACCCATACAGAAGAATGAATTACAACTGAAATTTAAAAGGAGGAGAATAAAAATTATTGCATCAAATGTAATGCGATTTTAAATTAATTATATTTCTTATAATATTATATACTAATTTAATGTGCTTCATGGTGATTATACATAGGCCTTCAAATATTCATGCAGCTTTTTTCTTTTCCATACAGAGTTTTTAAATTTAATTCATTATATATATAATAAGTGTTATATATGCATATATATATATATATATATATATATAGCTGAAAGTCTAGTTATACAGATAGAGCAAACTAACATTTTTCGAAAAGTATACAATTTGCTTTACTTTTTCAAAACTTGCAAATGAATAAATTACTCACATAACTTTTCCTGTATTGTTTCTTTTAACCATAATACCAAATTGGAGATCATTTACAAAATCAATAGAATAATCAACATTGTCTGGTGATTGTGCAGGAGGTAAAGGGACTTCTATAGGCACTTCAAATCTTTTCTTTGCTTTATCAGCAAACTGAAATAAGAAACAATGAAGATTAACCTGAATAAAATAAAATTTTCAATAAAATTCAAATATGCAAAAACAAGTAATATGAATTTTTTTTTTTAAGTCAATTCCTGTTTCAGTCAACAAAGAAATTTCTTTTTAGTTACTTTTTATTAACATTATTAACATTTTTTCATTTCTAGTTTATGAAGCTGATGGTGGTCTATAATTTCTCATTCTATCCATCTCTTGTAATGCTTCATTATTGCAAGGAACCTTTCCAGTGAGTTTTGGGCAGTCCAGTTCTTCAATTAAATATTCCATCTAATGATTTCACATGATTTTTCACATGATTTCAATTCTAATGATTTCAAGGCGACATATACTTGATCTGCTGCGAAGAGTTTTCGTTTTGTAAGGAACCCATTTTAAAGGGTCATATTTTAAACATATCTTATTATCATGTTAACATAGAAATATGGGGAGAATTTTCGCTATATAATGGGATATTACATCTGCTTCTTCATCCAACGCTATAAAACTAAAATCCTTTAATTCTAATTTAATAAAGCTGATGGTGGTCTATAATTTCCAATTCTATCCATCTCTTGTAATACTTCATCACCGCAAGGAACCTCTCTATAAAGTTTTGAGCATTCCAGTTCTTCAATTAATATTCCATCTAATAATTTCACATGGCTCATGGCGACATTTGCTTGACTTGCCGCGAAGAGTTTTTGTTTTGCAAGGAACCCATTTTAAACATATATTATTATCACATTAACATAGAAATATGGGGAGAATTTTCGCTACATAATGGGACATTGCATCCATTTCATCCAACTCTATAAAACACAATTCTTTAATTCCATACACTTTAAAAATTTTTAGAACTCCATCTTACTGTTGCTACTTATTTTTGTTAAATATAGTCAAAAGTCGTTAATTCGGACACCCATAATCCGGAATGATCTATAATCCGGACCTCAAAGCTAAAAACTTTCTGCGTATGCGCCGCGTTGGCACATGCGCATAGGCGTTTTACACGTGCACGTAAGACCTTGACTACTGCGCTTATGCGTGTGCGCAAGTGCAGAATACGTTTTCGCCTGCGCGTTTAATGTATAACGGACGGTGTAAGCTAAAATTATCTTGATTATATATTTCAGTTAACGTTAATGATTGCGTTGTTCCTTAAACTTCGAATTGGATCCCGCTTATTATTTTTTGCAGACTGTAAGAGCAATTTTATAAAAGTAAACTTGAACTTTCGATTATGTCAAATAGAATTTCCGATGCTGAAACTTCCAAAGGATCTACAAAAGGAAATTATGTTTCGATGTCCAACAAACAAAAAGTGGAATTGCTGCAAAAAATGGATAAAGACATGAAGAATGTGACAGAGAGGTTAGTGAAAACGAAAAAATTTCGATTGACAAGTTAGTCGGTATTCTCGGCACAGCAATTAACGGGACTTTGTAACTGAACAAGAAATTATGTCTGTTTATAGAATTAAAGAGAAAGTATTATTATCACATAAAACGAAGCAACTTAAACAACTTACATTGAAAGAAATGTTTAACAAAGTAAACAAATAAATATTAAGCTTTTTTTTTTTTTTTTTTTTTTTTGTAAATTTTTGATACCCTTTAGATCATAATTGTTCTTTATTTCATAAATTACGGTTTCATATTTTTAATTTTAGAATTTCTGCATGCCATCTTACAGATTTAAAACTGATGATCTATAATCCGGAAAAATCGATAATCCGGAATCGCCGAAGTCCCGACGAGTCCGGATTAACAACTTTTGACTGTATTACAATCTCATTTATCACAGTCATGCACTATTATTTCCTAATAAATGGTCATTATTTGTAAGTCTTATAATATATTTAATGAAAAACATATTAACATCAAGTGTCATCCACTACAAGTTTAAAAAAAATGTATTTGAACTTGAGTGGATGAATAAAAAGTTTTTCATTCATGACTAAATATTTGAACAAGTTATAGATAGAGAGAGTGTGAGCTAATAAAAGTAGGAATTTAATAATTGTGAATCTTTATCAAAAAATAATGGTTAAAAACATTACTTAAATTTTAATAAATATTTATGTAAACATAAAATAAGAAAACAAATCTAATATGTAAAATATAAAAAAAAAATAAATTTCTAATAAATTACTAACTTAATTAGCAATAGCTTCTAATTTTTTCTTTAGATTTTTATATGCCCTCTTCCTAGCATCTCCAATGCATCAAAATTTCTTTTGACTGCATCATTTCTAGATCAATACATACATATGATTTAATAATGCTGATGATGTAACTAATGCGAAACTTAAACAGAAACTTTGACATAACCAATTAGAAACTTGAACACAAAATTTCAAGTACCTAAACCTTTCCCATAATAGGCCGCCATACTGGATAACTGTGCACTTTTGTTTCTAGCTCTCTTTCCATCAAGATGGTACTGAGCTTGCTTAGCCTCTGCTAGATAAGCAGAAGTCCAATGGGCTGTCTGTTCCATATTTCTAAAAATACATTCTATATAAAATTGTGGAGTGCATAGCAAAACCCACAATGATGATGTAGAATGAAGAAGAATACATGTTCTTTAGTTATCAGGGAATAAAATTATGTGTGGAATTTACATCTACGTGATCGAGTGTCATCTTTCTAACTACACAGTTAAAGGCCTCTTCAAGTTATGACAATGCAGTGCCGGGCATTATTAGTTACTGAAACTCTCCCATTAAAACTACTGTAGTCCCCCATACCAGCAGGTTATATTGGGTCATGTGAAAAGTTTTGCAGTTTTTCAAATGGAAGTGCATTTTTCTCTGATTATTTTGTCACTGAAAATATAGAGTGACCTTGATTAAAGCACATTATTGAAACAAGTTTTTTTTTTTTTTGTTGTTGTTGTTGTTGTCATTGTTTACACTGCATAATTCTAGCATATGTTGTGACATAATTTTTGTGTCAGTGCAAATCTATGAATGGAGAACCCAAAAGTTCATCTTAATCACATTATGCTCTTTTATTTAAAAAAAAGAAAATATGCTAGTCAGACAGCTCATAAAATTTGCTTTTACACAGAAAACCACTGTTTCTGAAGATACAGTTTGAAAGTGCTTTAAGAAAATTAAAGCACAGAAATTTCAGTCTAAAAAATGATGCCTACTCTGAACTATAATCTTCTATAAACAACAATCTATTAAAAGAAGCTATAGCTGGAAAATCCTAGTTCGGAAACTATCAGACAGAATAAATATTCCAAAAAGTACAATGTATGATCATTTGAAGAAGGCAGGATATGTAAGCTGCTATGATGTGGTACTCCATACTTTAACGGAGTACAATATGCTTAAGTTTTGGCATGTGATTCTTTGTTAAAAATAAATTAAGAAGCTCCTTTTACAAACAAAGAGCTCATTACTGAGATGAGAAGTACACTAGCATTAAAGTAGTCAGTTTATTTGATGAATTATTAGTTTTACTTAAACCTATGCTTCTTTTCCAAACTCTAATAATATCTTCAGGCAGAAAAGATTCAGCAAGAGGCTATAACATACATATATGTTTATCAGACATGACATTTAATATCTCAAGGGCTCT